AAGCAAAAATTATTCGTTCCACCTCTACATCAACACAGCATGCATGATAACAAGAGGAATCAGTCAACAACCTTCATGCCCTGGACTCCTGGTACACGGTTGCATGCATGGCGAGTGTTGCATGCTACCTAGGAGTAGCTAGGTGTTGGTGGTGCCTTTTTCTGGTGGAAGTCGTTGATGTAGTCGGCGGCCTTGCGGTCGACGTCGCGCTCGCCGACCCACCAGCCGGAGTCCTCGTCGCTGGACCGCACCTTGCTCCCGCACCTCGGCCGGCCCTCCCAATCGCTCATGTAGCCGTCGTCGTACCTCGAGCTCGAACTCGACCTCGACAGGAAGCTGAACATCGGGCAGAAGAAGGAGAAGGGCGACTTCCCTCCCATCCTAGCTACCTCCACACCAACTTTAGCTTGCTGCCTAGTAAGAGGAACTTGCTAGCTAGTAGAGACTAGAGAAGCATAGAGAGAGTAGTTATGGGTGGCCGCTAAGGGGCTCTGTCGCTTGTTGCTGTCTTATGCTTAAGGAGAATGAGAGGCCAGCGCACCTCCTCAATTTATAGGAGGAAGAGGATCGATCACACCGTTGGATCGAGATGTCCGGCGATATTTGGACGGCCATGATCATGCCGCTATAGTATTCGCATCACCGGCGCATAATGGGGTTGATGATGAGATGAGGGGAGCGCTAGCTAATTATATGAGCGCAGGGCAGAAAGCAAGCGTGGCTTCTAGGCCTCTGCTTTACCTTCGCACCAGCACCCCTAGAGGAGGAAGGAACGCATGCATTTACCTTACAATTGTTTCTCTTTATGCTATCTTTCCCTTGTTATGCTGCACAGTAGATGAAGCTTCATCTTCATTGCTCGTGTATCGCGGTCTCTCACCAGAGCTTTCCGGAGCACTATGCCAAAAGGTACACGAACGTATCTAACAAAAGATATCTTATGGTTCTTCTTGTAGGGTATGTTCGTTCACGGAATGCGTACACATATGTATCTCCATTTTTTTAGGGCAAGGAAGATGGAGAAGAATAAGAAACCTTGATAACCTACAAAAGTGAAAACCCTGATAATCTATGGGACAAGGGAAAATAACAGCAGGATACCCGGCTGATATAGTGGTTGTTCCAGAGTCGAATATATGATTACCACTAGGTTTTAAAGAGTTCTTTTTATAACAAATTGAATTTCCACATGGAAAATTGTGGTGTTAGCTACACTAGTAGAAAACAGGGCTATCGTTCGGGCCTGGCCAGCCCATTAGTCTCGGTTCTTCAAGAACCGAGACACATGGGGGGTATTAGACCCGGTTCGTGAGCCCAGGGGGCCGGCCGGGGCCTCGTGGGCATTGTCCCGGTTCGTGTGGAACCATTTGTCCCGGTTCAAGCCACAAACCGGGACCAATGGTCCTCGCTTCTGGCCCACAACCATTGGTCCCGGTTCGTGGCTTGAACCGGGACAGAAGGGGTGGCTTTAGTCCCGGTTCATGCCACGAACCGGGACAAATAACTTGCCTATATATACCCACCGCCGCGGCAGAGCACTCCAGAGTGTTCTGTTTTGTCAAGCCGGCGAGGGGAGGGCATTTGGGTGCTCTAGTTCACCTCCTATGCACATTAGGTGTTCGATGAAATGTCCGAGCCACACTAGTTAAGCTTTCTCCTCTCGAAACTCGACCTCCGAGCTCCATTTTCAACGAGATTTGTCTAGATTTAGCGGTCCGTCACGCCCCGTCCCCGCCCCGTCTTCACCATCGTCGATCGCCCGCGCCGATCTCGTCGCCGGCACCACCGTGGTGAGCCTCTTGTTCTTATCTTCTTTCTGAAAGAAAAAAATGCTGACTTCAGATAGATACTTGTTTAATTTTTTATTTTTATTATTCCTTGTTATTATATAGTGCGATGATTTTGGTATCCGCCCCCGTCGGCCCTCGTCTTGTCTATGATTCAGATGTGGTATATATTATGTTTTCATAAATATTTGGTTCATTTATTGTTTATAACAATTATGCCGACCAATGTGACATAGATTTGATTTATCTAGGAGGTTGTTGAACAGGAAATTCCAACCGACCATATTGTCGAGAAGTTAAATTTAGTTGAAGAAGAAAATAATTACTTGAAGGAAAAAATAAGAAAAATTGAGGAGGAGGAGATGATATTGGACTTGCATGTTGAGGATGTCGTCGATGATCACAAGACCAAGACGGATGCAATGCGGTTAAGATTAAAAAGATTAGAAAATATGCAATTCATACCGAGGCTTGGTATCATTATGCAGTTGGATCAGTTGTTACCTTGGTTGTGGTTATGATCGCATTTGTTTTTGCATTGAAATGTTTTACATAATTTCAATGTATGGTTTAATTAGATGCTCTGGAGAGCTATATGTTGTTCAATGAGAACTATGTATGTACTTTGGTTTTAATGCTCTGGAGAACTATGTCTGTACTTTGGTTTCAGAGTTCATTTCAAATACTTTTCAACTTCATGGTCTTATAGCTTTGAATGGTGTTTTAAACACAGAAAAACAAGGAAGTTCAAATAAGTTCAAAAAAAATGAAATCCCTTTGTAACAGACGAGTTTCCGTATGAAACCCTGATACTTCGAAAGAGATTGTCCGTTTTATACACGAAGTGCATCCAGTTTTTGTCGTAAGTCTCTGTACTTTCTCGCACATGCTATGTGGGTGAAATGATGATATCATGCCAACTTGAAACCTTTTCAGAGTTTATTTCAAATACTTTTCAATTTCATGGTCTTATAGCTCAAAATAATCAGTAAATGCATGAATATTTTGACGCTCAGAGTTAAAGAGGAGCATGACCTCGTTCGAATTGAACTGTGAATGTTCCATTTGAGGAGTTCTTCGAGTTTTTCAATCTAAAGGCCCTCGATAAGTTAATGATCACTTTCTACTGCCTGTAAGTAGTACTACTTCTGTCATTAAGTCTATATATATATAGGTAAGCTCTTTCATTGCATGTATTTTTAATTATTCTCATTATACTATGCAGATTGAAGATCGCCGAATTGAAGAAAAGACAAATCGGTGATATTGGGTTCATTAACACAAATCTCATAGATGCATATATGGTTAAATTTCAGGCCAAAGATACCGAGGCCAAGCTGCTACAATCGTTTATATTAAATCAAAACAAAGCTATAATACTCTTCCCTTACAACTTCGAGTGGGTGTTACTGTCTTGTGCATATTCAGTTTCCCTTATTAGTCGATGTTATAGTAATGTAATTGATGAGTTATGCATGCGTGCGCAGGTTCCACTATATTCTCCTAGAGATTAAGCTTGAGCAGGAACTAGTAACCGTCTTAGACTCGAGACGAAAAGATCCCAAGAAGTACGCGGACATGACTGAAATTCTAGAGAAGTAAGTTAAATCGATCATTATCGCATCATATCGGCAACTTCAATTTGTTCATTTCCTGATATCAAGTAATTGTTTTCTTTGTCTGGCAGGGTTTGGAATAAATTTACCTCAAAAACTCCGGGACTGCCGAAGAAGCTGCAATTTAGACACCCTAAAGTAAGTACTATAGTAGCGTATACGTTCCACGCATCTCCTAGTGATTCAAGCGCTAGTTTCATCAATACCATTTAGCATGCTTGCTAATTATCAGTTTGATTAACCTTTATTTCTTGTAAGTGGTTGTGGCAGCAAAAAGGGACTAATTACTGTGGATACTACATTTGCGAGTCCATCCGCCACACGACCTGTGAGCGGGGCTACTCCGAGAAACAATATGAAGTGCGTAAATAATTATATTCACAATTTTATTTTATTACCATCATTTGTGTTCAGTTTCATTTATTCATATATATGTATTGACCCCCTTCTTCAAATTAGATATTTCGGATGCGGGATGAACTCCTACCACCAGATCGTATGCGAGGAATTCAAGAGGAATTGGCGGCATTCTTTCTTGATCACGTGATCGCTAAAGACGGAGAATACCATGTGGATCCTAATGCATTCAATTTTAATTAGGACATTATATTGTAAAAGATACTTATATTGTATATATGTAGCCAGTAGCGTCGGATAGATATACGAGAACTTATTGTTCGACCAATCTCTCAGAGAAGGAGAGGTGGTCGATATCACTTCTCTTTGTATGCATCTGTTCATGACGATCTTCTGTTTCCTTCATTTGCTTAACTAGCTAGCGTGTCTAGTCCTCTCTATACGTATAGTACGTAGCGTCGACCAAGCACGGAGATAAGAAAGGACACTTCTCTCTATTAATTAGCTAGCTAACACAATATATGAAACACCTAAATTAACCCCCCAAAACCCCAAAACCCTCCCCCCCTTCAAAAAAAACAAAAAACCCAGCACCTGAGATGCTGACGTGTGGATGCCTATTGGTCCCGGTTGGTGCCACCAACCGGGACCAAAGGGCCTCCTGCCTGGGCTCGCCGCACCGGCCACGTGTAGACCCATCTGTCCCGATTTATGCAAGAACCGGGACTAAAGGTTTAGGACATTAGTACCGACACTTAAGTCCCGGTTCAAAATCCGGGACAAATGGCCCTCAGGAACCAGGACAATAGGTCCTTTTTCTACTAGTGCTACTTAGCTAGTCGAGCACGGCAGTGGCATAGTTTTGATCGAGGGGAGGGTCATCAAATGATCATGACTAGAGTGATAAAACAGTGGGGAGGCGCTATGTGGGAGAGACCATGGATTTGGAAGCAAATTCAACTGTGAAAAACCTGCCAGACATGGCAAATGTTCTGTTTTTCAACAGAAATATAGCAAATCCATTGTTACATATCTTTGGCTGCCAAAACCGTTTGCAGTCAACATTGCAACACATCGCCCATCTCCATCTCTCAACGAGGCTACAGCATAAGACATGTTTTTTCTTGGCAATTTCAGTGACATTGTGTGCGAAAAGCTAATTTGGCCTAGCTGCATGCATGATCCGAACGAAAAGTGGCGCTTTTTCCCTTGTGACATCTTGCAATTTAACCATTAGCTTTGGTGAGAAGGCAAGGTACGTAGTCCAAATCCGATCTTTCAAACAAAACAAAAGTGGCCGAATAATCTGCTTTACGTAGCTTTGGTCAGTCTTGAATGTGCAGATAGACTTGTTTAGTGCTTAGTTGTTGCAAGCTGTGTTGTTACCTTTGTGGTACTATAGCTTGCTGCCTTGAACGTCCTACACCCTCATTCGAGGTTTCGGATCAAGGGGCGTGAGGTATGCAATTCCATAACCGACTCCTGATTTAATTTGTTCGGATAAATGCTAGTATTAATTCTTGATTTGAGACGTACACGGCTGCCCATGCATCATCAGTGTTTTTTTAAAAAAAAAGGAGGTTTAAACCTTGGGCCTCTGCATTGTTGTGATGCGCACAG